CCTGCCATCGGTTGAGTTTGTGTGCAATTGTGTTTTCCTTGCTAACCTGGGCATGGAACCCTACGAGGCGCTGTTTGGTAGGAGGTGTAGAACTCCTACCTGTTGGTCTGAGGTTAGAGATAAAGAGTTGTTTGGCATGGACCTTGTCCAATTTGCCACCAGCCGATTCAGATGTTCAGAGGAAAGCTGGAGCAGGCGCAGTATCGCTAGGAGAACTACGTTGATGATAAGCATCGTCCACTGGAGTTCAGTAAGGGTGAGCACGTGTTGTGAGACTTTCACTGTCACCGGTGTTGTTCGGGAACTCGGAGTGAGGAAGCTGAGCCCATGATTCATTGGGCCATACCAGTTACGTGGTAGAGTAGGACCTGTTGCCTACCGGTTTGCCTTACCTTCGAACTTGGCCAGCACCCACGACGCGTTTCACGTGTCTCAACTTTGCAAGTTTGTAGCGGATCCTTCGCACGTGGTGCAACCGGATGTTGTGGAGGTTCGGGAGAACCTATAGATCTTCCGTCGTACCACTTAAGTTTCTCGATCGTGGCGAGAAGAAGCTGAGGAGCGGGACCATTTCGATGGTCAAAGTACGATGAACGGGGAAAATCCCCAAAGGTTAATTCTAGGAGCGAGAGGACGAGCTTCTCCGGCAGTATCCCGAGCTTCGAGACAGGTATGTTTTCTGATTTTGAGGGCAAAATCCTAAAAAGGTGGGGTGAATGTAAGAACCCGCACCGTTAATTACGGAAAATAATTAATTAAATGCGTGAAATTAGGAAATAATTCCATAATTGACCTTAATAATTATGAGAAGGCTTAAATAAATATAGAAAGTGATTAAGAATGCTGAAAGTCGCTTTTCGGACGAAAAGTGCAGATACTGGTTCTGCTACTCGGTATAAATGCGTACCGATGAAGTATCCTGGAAAATTATAATAAATGCATGAATATTCCTAGAATAATATGTAGGACTTGTAAAACGAGTTTCAAGTTAAAATAATGAGAACTGGTGCCAGAATCTGATACTGGCTATGGAAAGCGCGTACCGGAAAGGTGCTGCGAAAAATAAAATAAAAATATGATAAATCTTAAAAAAATGAGTAGGTTCAGAATCCTAAGTTTGGGATTAAAATGCTAAGCGTAGCAATTAACGCTAATATTGTGCGATTAAAACTAATTAGACTATATATAGGTGTGCACAAGTTTCTAGGTCAGAAACTTGACATTCTCTACATGAGAATTTGCTGAGTGTGAGCTGCCACCTTCTTCCTTTGGCCTTCTTGCATGAAAACTCTCCCAATTCACCTCATTTACCATGGATTCTTCTCTTTAAACCTTGTAAACACTTAGAGGTGTGTGTTTGGAGGGTGAAAGCCTTCACCTTTCTGAGTTTGAGGTCTGTCTTGGTGAGACTTAGGGGCTGTGTTGCTGAGTTGTGAGGGTGGAGCCTTTGTGAAGGCATTTTGAGCTTCATGGAGTGATCTTTGAAGGAAAGGAACCATTGTTGTGTGCCATTTTCGTGCATCTTCAAAGTCAGAACCTTGGAGGTTGTTGGTGAGCTCCAAGAGCACTACTTTCTCTGTTTTAAAGCTTGGGTAAGTGTTACCAACCATTGGTCATGAGTTTTAATTGATAAAAGAGGTGTCTTGTCATGCTTAATGGGTTAAACAAGTATCCAACCTGAACATGAACATAAAAGCCTTTAAAAATGCATGCTTGGACGTTGTAATGGGTTAAAAATCCACCCTTTAAGTGATATCTTCACGAAAATGCAGAACTGCATTCTGTCGCAAAATATCCAGATATGATATCCGGATATTGATATCCGAATATGATATCTGGATATGGATATCCGGATATGGGGTCTGGTGATATCCGAATATGGATATCCGGATATGTCCCCGACAAATATATGGATATTCTGGGAATTTCAGAACAGTGACGGTACTGTTCATACAGAATGTAATTTTGGATTTGTGGACCCATGATTGACTTATGTGGACTTCTGTAACAATTAAACTAAGTCGGAATCAAGGGATTAAGGGCTTATGGCTTTGTGAAGAGTTTAAAGACATGAAACGTAAGGAAAGGCATTGTCTTTATGTCAAAGGTTTGTTGAGTATGTATATTGATATATTTATCGGTCCAAAACAGATTGTGATTGTGCTGTGTGTTGACCTTGAGCTTGGTTGGATTCTTGGTTTGGATAGCTAGCTTGAAAGGTAAGCTTTCGTGTCCTTGGATTGATCTGTTGTTTGTTCCACCGACCTCCATGGGAGGGTGGTTTATATGCATGGTATGCTTTTATGAAAATTTTATATGCATTGATATATGCCTGAGATATGTGAATATGTCTGTTGATTACTTACACAATCAGACTGCGACTCTGGTGTGTAAGGCATGTAGTGTATGGAAGTGATGTTGTTTACTTACACAATCAGACAGCGACTCTGGTGTGTAAGGCATATAAGACTGCGACTCTTATGTTTAGATGGGTCGCAGACGTGCATAATCCCTATCATGTTCCCTGGCCAGTCGAACGGCATCTACATACATCACATGATTAATGAGTTATAGTATTTAGCTCGTTGAGCAAGAGATTATACTGTCATGATATATATGCCTTAACATGAACATGCATTGAAATTATTGCTTTTGAACTTATATTATACTTGTAAGTGAGCTTGGGGCGGAAGAGTCCTTGAGGACCCCTTGTCTTACTGAGATTTCTTATTTAGAGATCTCACCCCACGTTTGGGGGCGCTTATTTCAGGTTCAGGTAATTTGGGGGCTGATGCCTCTGGCGACAGGAGGCCGGAGCTTAGTTGATGATTATTGTTATATTTATGCTGACATGACTGGATTGGATGCTGTTTATGTTTTCCGTCTTATTATTATGTTGTTGATGTTGAGACTTATGTTGGGTTTGATGCCTTATTTGGGTGAGCATGGGGTTTGTCCATGCCACTTTGATTTCTGTTATGTTAAAGTTTAACTGGGTTGTATAAACTATCAGGGTTGTTCGGTCTACGTATTGTAGTTCTGTGACTAGAGACATACTTATGTTATTTATGTTATGAGGTATTTCAGTTAGCTGTCTTTTGCAATTTACATACAGGCAATGTTTTGAAAATGAGTTAAGTATTCAACTTGGCTAAGTATAATGACGTCATAATTGAAAAGAAAAATATATTCCGCAATTTTAATTAAGCGCAGCTTAATACGATGATATGATAACATTACCAGATATATACGGGGTGTTACATTTGGGATCATGCCTTTGGCTCGTACTGTTAAAGTACGATTCTATGTCGTTGAATATCCATCTGCATATAACGTTATCTTAGGAAGACCAACCATTGTCGCGTTAAAGGCAATCATTTTTATGCCCATCTTCTAATCAAATTCTGCGATTCGTTTGGGGCAATAGTTGCCATTAGGGGCGATCAAAAAGCAGCGTGTAGCTGTTTCAATACCAGCTTACGAGAAAAATCTCCAACCCCGCGGGACGGAAAAAGAAAAGCATCGGTCAATATGACTGATCTAGACCTGCGCGATACACGCCCTCAACCTGATGGCAAATTAGAAAGTCTCCAAGTTGGACCATTACCCGACGTTACTAAGATTGGACGACATTTACCAGAAGGAGAAAAAAAGGCATTGGTGGCGGTGCTTCTCAAGAATAAAGACCTCTTTGCATGGACAACAGCTGACATGCCAGGTATAGACCCTGACGTAATATGCCACCATTTAACCCTGGATCCAAAGGCTAAACCCATCGCGCAGAAGAAGCGCAAAATATCTCCAGAAAAACAACAAGTGGTCGAAACTGAGGTAACAAAGCTGCTTGATGCAGGAGTGATTAGAGAAATCACTTATTCTACCTGGCTTTCTAACGTCGTCTTGGTTAAAAAAGCCAACGGGAAGTGGCGCATGTGTACAGATTACACAGACCTTAATAAATATTGCCCAAAGGATTTTTACCCTCTCCCTACCATTGACAAATTGGTTGATAACTCCGCGGGAAATCAGATTCTATCCTTTATGGATGCTTATTCAGGATACAACCAGATTTCCATGTTTAAACCAGATGAGGAAGCCACAACCTTTATTACAGAAAAGGCTACTTATTGTTATAATATGATGCCATTTGGCCTTAAGAACGCTGGAGCCACGTATCAATGTATGATGAATAAAATCTTCAGCCTACAGATTGGCCAAATGCTCGAAGTATACATTGATGTTCAACAACACCCTCAAGATTTAGAGCAGGTATTCAAACAAATTCGCAAATATAGATTACGGCTGAACCCAGCCAAATGCGCGTTTGGAGTTCCTGCTAGAAAATTCATAGGATTCATGTTAACACATCGCGGTATAGAGGCCAATCCTGACAAGTGTAAGGTCGTCCTCAATATAACCAGCCCGCGTAACATAAAAGAGTTGCAGCAATTGACTAGAAGAATAACCGCTTTAACTCGATTTCTTCCAGCTTCAGCACAAAAGTCGTTACCAATGTTTAAACTGTTGCAAAAACAAACAGATTTTAATTGGACTTCTGAGTGCGAAGCAGGGTTTGCGGCCATCAAGGAACATCTCGCTAAACCTCTTGTCTTAGTGAAACCTCAACCAGATGAACCTTTAGTTTTATACCTCTCAGTAAAGTAAGCAACGAGGCCATTAGCGCCGTATTATTGCGCGAGGATTCCCTGGAACAGCAACCAATCTACTTTGTCAGTAAAGCCTTCCAAGGACCTGAGTTGCGCTATCAATAGATAGAAAAAGTGGCTTTCGCGCTTATTCTAACATCGCGACGTTTGCGCCACCACTTCCAGGGACATACTATCAAAGTTCGAACAAACCAGCCCCTTCGACAAGTTCTAAGGCAGCCTGATCTGGTCGGCCGAATGATTTCTTGGTCAATAGAATTATCTGAATACGATATCATTTATGAACCGCGTCAGACAATCAAAGCTCAGGTGCTATCCGATTTCCTCGTTGAAATGACGCACTTACAACAAACCAGGGCAAATGAGGATTGGACTATTTTCGTCGATGGATCCTCAAATGTTAAAAGAAGTGGCGCAGGAGTCATTGTGGAAAGTCCTCAAGGCATAACTTTGGAACATTCTATCCACTTTGGGTTCAAAGCTTCAAACAACCAAGCTGAATATGAAGCAGTCCTCGCTGGACTCGCAATGGCAAAAGACTTGGGGGCAGCAAGAATAATTCTTAAAAGTGATTCACAACTAGTAGTTGCGCAGGTCCAAGGGAATTACCAGGCAAAAGAGGCTTTTACGGTAAAATATCTCGAAAAGGTAAGGTTACTTTTAGCAAATTTTGAAAGGTTCACAATGGATCACATCCCTAGAGAACAAAATTCGCAAGCAGATATTTTATATAAATTAGCCAGCACAAAGGGACCAGGAAACAATAGATTAGTCATCCAGCAAAGCGTTCCCAATCCTAGCATCATAATGGCCATCACCAAACGCAAACCTCGTCCATCTCAGAGTGCGCAATCCTTGATCGACGATGATACGATGCCACCAGATGATGAAGACACTTGGATGACACCAATCTGGAACTACTTGACTAAAGGTGTGGTACCACCAGAACCGCGCGCGGCCAAGAAACTAGCGTGCAAGGCTTCATTCTATACTGTCATCAATAACCATCTGTATAAAAAAGGATTTTCTTCCCCATTGCTTAAATGCCTAGATCCCCAACAAGCTCGATATGTGATCTCTGAAGTTCATGAAGGGATTGGCGAACATCACATGGGAGGCAAATCGTTATCTCGAAAGCTGCTTCGAGCAGGATATTTTTGGCCTAGTATGGAAGAGGATTCTAAGCAACACGTTCTGCATTGTGTCAAATGTCAAGAACACGCAGATTTGTACCATGCTTCCCCAGAGGAGTTGTCCTCAATGATATCCCCTTGGCCATTTTACCAATGGGGAATGGATATATTAGGACCATTTCCGATTGCCGTCGGAGAAGTAAAATGGTTATCAGTGGCTATAGACTATTTCTCCAAATGGATCGAAGCAGAAGCTTTAGCCACAATAACAGCCAATAGAATTTGTCGATTCTTTTATCAAAAAATCATATGTAGATTTGGAGTCCCTCATACCATTATAACTGATAATGGTATGCAGTTTGCGGATAAAAAATTCAATCAAATACTTCAATATTTTCACATTAAACACAGAGATACACTTCTGTTGAACATCCATAAACGAACGGGTTACAAACAGAGTCTTGAAACGAGGATTGGAAAGAATGTTAGAAGCAGCTAAATGAGATTGGCCTGAACAATTGGACTATGTGTTGTGGGGATTCAGAACTACCTCCCACTCAACCACTGGAGAAACCTCGTTCCGCATGGTTTATGGTGGCGAAGCCATCATTCCAGTTGAAATTGGAGAACCATCATGGAGAAAAATGTACACGAATGAAGAAAGCAACTCGCAGGCCTTACTGCATAACTTAGATGCAATTGATGAAATGCGCGAAATTGCCCATGTCAAGGAGGCGGCATTAAAGCAAAGAGTCGCAGCACGTTATAACTTAAAAGTTATTAAACGAAGTTTCAGCGTAGGAGACCTAGTCCTAGAAAGAGCGGACATTGGAAATAAGAACGCGCGACAAGGTAAACTAGCCGCAAATTGGGAAGGTCCATATCGCATCCAAAGTAAGACTGATAAAGGTGCATATGTCATCAAGACGTTGTCTGGGCTTACCATCCCGCACACATGGAACGCATATAAGCTTAAGATATTTTATAGTTAAGTCTTTTTTGTTTGAGAAATATTTGTCTTTCCAAAATTATCAAATAAAGATTGCAGATTTCTACATTGTTGATATATATATTGCGCACATGCATATATGATTACTATATTCATCGCGCATACAAATAAAGAGAAAGGATCAAACATGATCACACTTGCCCAAACATAAGGGCGCGACACAGTAAAGCGCGATGACCTCGAAGTAAAATGACCCTCCAAGTAAAAGGATCCTCTAAAAGAACCCTCCAAGTGAAAGGATCCTATAAAAAGGACCCTCCAAATGAAAGGATCCTAAAAAAGGATCCTCTAAAAGGACCCTCCAACTAAAAGAATCCTCTAAAAGGACCCTCCAAATGAAAGGATCCTCTAAAAGGACCCTCCAATCAAAAGGATCCTCCTGAACAGATCCTCCAATAATTGAAGAAAGCTAATGTAACTTCTTCCACGCTCCATCGCGATGTATGTAAGAAAGATAAAACCGTAACTTGTTAAAACTTCCTCTAAAGCGCGATGCTTCTGCCAACATCAAGGGCATATTAAGCCACATCATACCTCAGAGAAGGCAAAGTAGAAAGGTATGCAAAATATCAGTTGAACTGTATTACGAATTATGAACTGTATAACAATGCAGAATTCAATTATGGCTCTCAAGTACCATACGAAGTACAAACCCTAGTTCCAGATAAAGGAACAAGCGCGCTGTGTTTTGAAGGAAGATACATACATTGTGCACTAAAAACAGGAAAGGGAAACAATGATTTTTAAACACACAAAGTTCCATAGCACAGTATCAGGAAGAAACACCAATATCTTCAGGAAAGCCTTCAAGGAAGAGAAGAAGGACGAGGAGAGTAATATTCCTCAAAGGTTATACTCCTCAAAGGTTATCAACTTTTGCAAAAACCTCATATAATTGTACCATCGCGTCTTATGACGGTGAGGTACGCTGGAGGTATTTTTGTTATAACATAGCTCTTCATCTAAAGAAGATATAACTACAACTATTCTACGAAATGACACGTACATAGTAGGCACTCATCACACATCCTTGTGAAAGAAAACAAGATATATTTTAGCCATCGCGACTTATATAACATTCATATTATCAGCAAAATACCATTGTTTCAAATAAATTGGGGATATTCCCCTTACAGACCAAAAAACCAAGGGAAGATTCAAGAAAATTAAATAGTCTGAATGGACATGTCTTGGGGACCCTCATTCGCTTCAACGCGATCTTCACCTTCAGCAATTGGCCCTTGCAGGGTTGGCTCTTGAACAGATGGCGCGATGGTCTCTGTATCCATCGCGCTGATTAAATCTACCACCACTTCTTCATCTTTATCATTTAGCATCATTAGTTGGCCATCCTTGATATAGTAAAAATAGTGAACATTGTCCAACTTGGCTGTGGGGTTGAAGAAACGCACTTGTTGCATGATATTGGAGTAGGTTCCCTCAGCCTCTTTCTCGAACAGATCCTGATACTTCTTAAACTCATTGGTTAAGAGAGTTTTCTCTTTTGTCCCCGTATCAGCATTTCCCTCCAGCTCCATGACACGCTTGTTCAACTCAATTTTTTCTGCCTTCAATTACTTATTGGACGTCTCCATTTCTTTCAAAGCATTATCTTTTTTCTCCAAGTCTTGTTTCATCTTGGCCATCTCTTCTTCAGCCTTTTTTAGTTTATCCTCAAAATCTGTACGCTACTGCGCGATATCACTCTTCAATTCATCAATGCATCCCTTCAAGAAGTCAACAGACCCTGCTACATAGAATATGTTACAACACAGAGATTGATATCACATTTTCAAAGTTATAAAGCGACAAAAAGTTACTTACCAGGCACAGACATGATAAATTGATTCGCTATACTCAGCTTCGCGCACGTCCCCAGCCATTTTTCCCTTAGCAGCGCTTCAATGCGCGGACCTATCTCTCTGCCCTTGGCAAACATATCCTTATCAAATTCCCAACCATCTCCGAAATAAATGAGGTCTGGAAAACCTACATTCATCTCCTCAAAAGTCTTCTTCTTTCCCTTCCCAGCACCTTCAACCTCCTTTTCAGAGGGGATAACATTTAAGGGGCAGTTGGAGGACCTGGAGATTTCATCAGAGACTTCATACGCGCGGTGGCATCCCCGCTGGATTCAGCAATAGTGGCGGTAGCTGACATGGAAGGTTTGGTAAGGATGGAAGGACCTGCGTCTGAAACACCGCGCATGGCCGCTATCTTCTCCAATCTACTCAAAGAAGCTGCCATTGAACTATCTGCAGCACATTGCAAAAGGAGTTCGCGTCAGCTATATACAACATTTATAACATAAACTACACAAAGTTTTTTATACATAAACTCAACAAGCGAATAAAGGTCAAAATTACCCAAATAGGCTCGAATATCAGTATATTCATTCAAAATTGTGTACGTGCTCAAATAACCCGTATCTGAAGCTTCGCGCGAATATTGCTTAGTGCGATCACAGTCTGTTGCTCCAAATCGCTCAAATCATCAAAATTATAGACCAAATTTGCACCATCAGCAGGATGTTCGGTCCAATACAAAGGAAAGATAGGAGTGTTATCTTCTCCCATGAAAAAGGGGGTGGCACCTTCAGCAGGATGAATTTTAAAATATTCTGTGGTCCACTTGTTAATCTTCCGGCAATATGATTCACATAATTTTACTTTACTTCTAAAAGACACCCAACTCGAATGAGGTCCCATCACGCTAAACATGTACAAAAATGACTCTGGAGATTGAAAGAGATTATATGCCTTGCAGACCATCTCGTATACCCTGATAAAACCCCAAGCATTTGGGGTCAACTGTGAGGGCGCTACATTCAGATATGTTAGCAACTTACAAACAAAAGATGAAAAAGGAAGGCGAACTCCTATTGATAAGAAAAAATAAGCATACATCATAAAGAAATGTCTGGTGGAACCTTCTGCGCGCGATGAGAAAACGAGCTCATTTTTTGGCACAACACTAATTTCCCACTGATCATCAAAAGCTTTGTCAGGGGTGATGTGGATGGCAGCTGTTACTTGCGCCAATTCTTCTGGCGAGTAGAATATGGAAGAAGTATCCAGTACCATATCTGCTACCCAACTTAGGGATTCTTCATCCCGCAGATTACGCTTGACTGGGGATTCTCCTTCAGGATCAATATATAAAACTTTCTTCTTAGAATCAGGATTCAACTTTTGTTTCTTCTTGTCACTAGCACCGTGTCTCGCCATAATTTCCTTGATTTGAGGGGAAACGAATTCTGATTCAGAAGAAGAAGAATCAGTAGAAGAAGACGAGTTAGAGGAAGAAGAGACAACAAATGCAGAATTATAATCATCAAAATTCCTTTTCTTAAAAGGATACCCTGCTGGATATATTACATTTAAAGGTAAGGGACTTGGACTCTTTTGACCATAATAATCTTGCACGATGGGAGATGAAGTATCGCGCAAACTATTTGGAGAGGATGGTTTAGGGTTTACTGTATCTACAGACTTATCACTACATTCAGAACTTGAAGACGAATCACTTGAAATCAAAATGGGACCATACATTCTAAAGGAAATCTTTGGGAACAATGATGAACTCTGTCGAGAACGAGTTTTCACGTTTTCGCGATTCAAGGGTCGTGAAGATGAACCAACCTCAAACCGTCTAGAAGGAAAACGCTTATCATTTACAAAAATGTTAGAAAATGGAGTGGCATACTTATCAGTACGCCATACTTCCCTAGTTTCCAACGACCTTGATCTAGGTAGTGATTTAGAAGGAGGACTGGACGAGCCAGACCGTTCGGTTAATCTGATAAAATTCTCAGATTTGCGATAATCAGACATATCCCAAACTTAAAACGATAAAAAATGAGGTAATAAAGCAGGATGAAGAACATACCTAAGATTTATACTTCGGATAAGCTAACCACGAGCAGGACGTGTCAACACTGGAAAAGCAGAAGAAATCAGCAAGCGCTGACAGACAGAGGATTTCTCACAGTCTTAGTGACATGTTTTCCCTCCAAACCGAATAACTCAGTACAGATATGAAAGGTTGTATCAAACGGATAGTCCGAAGGTCACAAAACGTGTTGAGTTAAATGGTTTTACAGGGACACGTGGAAAGAAGGTAAAACGTTTACACTTCAAAACCAACCACGCTTACCATTAAACACCCACGTAATCTCTATGGCATTAAATGCTTCTGACAGTTAACGTCTAATCCACCGTCTTTAAGCGGCTAAAAGTCATGATCACACTTTAACATGATTACTGCGGATGTCAAAAAAGACATGCGAGATGAATATATCGCGCACAAACACGTATACCTCACAGCTTTGCCCCATGACAAAACTGCAAGCTAGGAGGCAACTGATCTGGATAAAATATAGTAGGCTCATTAGAGGCCCAATAATATGCAAGGAAGCCCAATCTTATGAAGGGTACAAAGCAAAACGCGATGGTTAACATCGCGCACAAGGCTAGACGCGATAACCCCTT